TATATATATATATATATATATATATATATATGTGCGCATAGAAAGAGGATAGAAGAGAGAAAGAGACTCGAGTGCAAGAAGAGGATCTTAGGAAATAGTGCAATGTTTCGGAAGCAATCATCCGCTTCCGTTTTTGGATTCTGCTGATACGACCGGATTTCTTACACCGCCTTTGGCACCGGCGTCTTCGATAAAAATGGATGCGCGCCAACAATTGCATTCGCATTTCTGCAGTTTCCACTGGCAGAATGCAATTCATTACCGATCGTCAAACGGCTGAATTTGCATTGTCATAAATACTCGCGGCGGCGTCATTACTTAACGATTATAACGCACGAATTGATCCCGTCGTAAATAATCTCGACTGCTGCTGCGTTCAGTTACGCGCGATTACGATTTCATTACTGCGTGCTGGAGTGTCTCTGTTTTTACAGTAGCAACCGAAGACGCGCACCTTTTCTCTTTTTAAGCGACGGCGTTTAACTTCTTTATTTCATGAGCCATAAAAACGTTGGCTCTAGCGCGTCGCGCATCTAACAGGACTGTTAACGTTCGCTGCGCAAATATTTACGTGGCATAAAAGTACCGGAGGCTCGGCGTTGAGGTTGTTCATCGCGCAGATTTCTCCCCTTCTCTCTTTCTCTCTCGCTCTCTCATTAATGCGGCTACGCGACTGATCGTTACTGTTGTTAATCACTTAATTAACATCAATCATATCGGTCGCTCCAACGATTAGTCGGTGAACATTCCGACCATCATTTAACACGATACGGTTCGCGCGCGCGGACTCAAACTTATAGACTCGTTCACTCCTACACTATAGCCGACCATAACGCGTTGGTAGTAATACGGCACGCGTATAAATTGAACCGTACTTGAACCCTTCGGCTGCAAGTGTTACGAGCCGCTCCATGGTGCTCGCCCATGGAACGCGCGTCGTAAGTTTCGCTGCCTTAAGTGGACCAAGTCGACCCATTATCTCAGTTTACGTCAGGGTCTTTTACGAGCCCCCGATACAGAAATTCCCGTTGGACATAACCGAAGTGGGCTCGCTAATTGTCGGCGCGCGGCTCAATTTTCGCGGATCCCCCCACTGCAATTGACACGCACTCCATCTCGCTCAAAAGGGAACTTCTAATACGACACACCTTTGTACTCCGCTATTATGTCTTTTTTAAACTAATAATATTAGACTAATTTAATCTATTTTCAAATACTATAAAGATACATGTATGCATCTGACGAATTTCCTCGGCTGATATTCCCGACACAAGCAACAATTATCAATTTATATTTATATTTTCCTATATATTTCAGCGACGACAATAAATAACATTTTATTTACCTCGGTTGATTGCTTTCGATTAGACAAGAAATTATCTTTTATATGTCACCGATTGACTTATGATAACGTATTCTGTCTTTGGCGATCGTTTAACTCTCTGTGTGCTCTTAGTGCGCCGCGTTCTAAAGGTTATAAATATAAATGTTTAATCAGCTAGAAAGAGTCACTTTGACAATGAAGAGTGAGACCCGGCGATTCCTTATGAATAAAGTGTTGGACCTTATACAGTTGGTCCTTCTTTGCCAAGGGACGTAAGGATTAAATCTGTATCTTCAGAGTATATATATATATACTCTGAAGATACAGATTTAATCCTTACGTCCCTTGGCAAAGAAGGACCAACTGTATAAGGTCCAACACTTTATTCATAAGGAATCGCCGGGTCTCACTCTTCATTGTCAAAGTGACTCTTTCTAGCTGATTAAACATTTATATTTATAACCTTTAGAACGCGGCGCACTAAGAGCACACAGAGAGTTAAACGATCGCCAAAGACAGAATACGTTATCATAAGTCAATCGGTGACATATAAAAGATAATTTCTTGTCTAATCGAAAGCAATCAACCGAGGTAAATAAAATGTTATTTATTGTCGTCGCTGAAATATATAGGAAAATATAAATATAAATTGATAATTGTTGCTTGTGTCGGGAATATCAGCCGAGGAAATTCGTCAGATGCATACATGTATCTTTATAGTATTTGAAAATAGATTAAATTAGTCTAATATTATTAGTTTAAAAAAGACATAATAGCGGAGTACAAAGGTGTGTCGTATTAGAAGTTCCCTTTTGAGCGAGATGGAGTGCGTGTCAATTGCAGTGGGGGGATCCGCGAAAATTGAGCCGCGCGCCGACAATTAGCGAGCCCACTTCGGTTATGTCCAACGGGAATTTCTGTATCGGGGGCTCGTAAAAGACCCTGACGTAAACTGAGATAATGGGTCGACTTGGTCCACTTAAGGCAGCGAAACTTACGACGCGCGTTCCATGGGCGAGCACCATGGAGCGGCTCGTAACACTTGCAGCCGAAGGGTTCAAGTACGGTTCAATTTATACGCGTGCCGTATTACTACCAACGCGTTATGGTCGGCTATAGTGTAGGAGTGAACGAGTCTATAAGTTTGAGTCCGCGCGCGCGAACCGTATCGTGTTAAATGATGGTCGGAATGTTCACCGACTAATCGTTGGAGCGACCGATATGATTGATGTTAATTAAGTGATTAACAACAGTAACGATCAGTCGCGTAGCCGCATTAATGAGAGAGCGAGAGAGAAAGAGAGAAGGGGAGAAATCTGCGCGATGAACAACCTCAACGCCGAGCCTCCGGTACTTTTATGCCACGTAAATATTTGCGCAGCGAACGTTAACAGTCCTGTTAGATGCGCGACGCGCTAGAGCCAACGTTTTTATGGCTCATGAAATAAAGAAGTTAAACGCCGTCGCTTAAAAAGAGAAAAGGTGCGCGTCTTCGGTTGCTACTGTAAAAACAGAGACACTCCAGCACGCAGTAATGAAATCGTAATCGCGCGTAACTGAACGCAGCAGCAGTCGAGATTATTTACGACGGGATCAATTCGTGCGTTATAATCGTTAAGTAATGACGCCGCCGCGAGTATTTATGACAATGCAAATTCAGCCGTTTGACGATCGGTAATGAATTGCATTCTGCCAGTGGAAACTGCAGAAATGCGAATGCAATTGTTGGCGCGCATCCATTTTTATCGAAGACGCCGGTGCCAAAGGCGGTGTAAGAAATCCGGTCGTATCAGCAGAATCCAAAAACGGAAGCGGATGATTGCTTCCGAAACATTGCACTATTTCCTAAGATCCTCTTCTTGCACTCGAGTCTCTTTCTCTCTTCTATCCTCTTTCTATGCGCACATATATATATATATATATATATATATATATATATATGCATATATATACATACATACATACATACATACATATACTCTCTCTCCCTCTTTTTCTTCTTTTTCTTTTACCGGCTGAACGGCGCGAATTTTTTCCCTCACGGGAAATTATGTTGTTGAACACTTGCGTACGATCACAATCTCCTCGGTTGTCGTAATTGTAGAACTTTAAATTTCAATTCGCGCAAACAAGGTGCTTCCCGGCTGGACGTCTTCGAGCACGCTAATAACACGGGTAAGCGATATCAAGCAATCCCAGAAAAGTTTCCGTGCGAGAAGCCACGTCTCCAATTTTTCGCGAAATATCACGGGAAGATAATTGAAATTGAAATCCGCGTCTCTTGCTTCATTATAATTAACTTCATTATTACGTCTCGTAAGAGATCTCACGATGAATAAAGCACAAGGTAAAGCAAAGAGAAACGGAGGCTCTGAATCAACCGTGCAGAAATAGTGCTCTGTCTCAAGAGTTATCGAGTTTATTTGAAAGATAGACTCCGACATTTCGATGAGATCAAGTCCGCTCTTCGTCAAGGATCATTTTAGTCTGCGCAATTAAACAAGACTTTAACAAGTCTGAAAGATTTGTAATGCTTTTGTACGATAATTTACCAGATAACACTGTTTATCTTCCGTCGTGGCAGATAAGAGAGAAAGGAAGAGAGACAATGATGTTTATTGACTCCCTGGGACTAAATCCCCTCGAAACACTGGTGCACAATAAGAAATTGTAGTATACTAAAAAAAAGTATATAAAAAGGAAAGTACAATACAAAAAAATAAATAAGAGAAAAGAAAAATATAAAAAATACGTTCTCGCGAAATCAAATAGATACATCGGTTATCATGCAATAGTTATTATTTTGTATAAGAGGGGAGAGAAAGAGAGAGAGGGGGAGAGGAAAGTTAGGTCGCACGCGGCAGAAGAGTGCATCAACAAAAGGATCCCCATCGCCGAAAACACGGAATGTCTTTTATTCGTAAGTTTCTCACGATCCTGGAAGTTGCACGAGAAACAGTCGAGTCTGCCAAAATTTAAAGTGGTTCCAAAACGCGGGACAGGGAGGAGAGCGGGTGCGGAGAAAGAGGAACCGGGTAGAGAGGGGGAGGGGGCCGACGTGCAAAACACAACGGGGCAATTCGCTTCCGCCGCGGGACGGACCGGCCGGCCGACTGTCTGTCTGCCGTGCTGAAAAGAAGTCGGCGATTCAGCCGATTCGCCTCGGCGCAGGAAGTCGATGCGCGCTTTTTGCCGGCGGGAAACTTCTCCTCTCGCGAGTACTCGTTTTCTGAGTGATACCTACGCGGAGCTCCTAACGAGTGACAGCTTCTGTTGTGTCGCATGCGCCCACTAGTTCTTGTCTTCTCACTTCGTCCTTTGAAATCCGACTGACGAACAAGTCCAGAGCAGTTGGTGACAAAGGAAGAATGGGAAATGCCAGGCTTTATTTGAAAGCATTGGAACGCTCGGAACAGTAGTAGTAGTAGTATTAGTAGTAGTAACAACTTTGCGTCCCGACCAGACGTCGTGTGACGCAAATTGCTCAATGATCTTTATATTAACATGAGCGCGTATAAAATTAGCTAACTGTATTATTAATCATATCAATTGTTACTAATTACTTCAATATCCGACAATAATCTGCTCTGTGACACCGATCGTTCATAACATATAATAATATATAACGTATAATAACATATTGACATCACCGAGTTGATTTGTAATAATCCAGTGGATAAGGACTTGTATCTCTTTTTGGGAGCGTTCGTTTTTGTATCCCGCCCGGAACGTCCCGTAATTCTCTTCTTGATACGCGTCATAATCTCATGATAGATTGAAACAGTGTGTAAGCTTTCTTTGTTCTTGTTCAAATTGTTACGGTTTGAATGCCCTTGTTAGGATTAGTGAGTATAAGAAAGATGTTTATATTATAAACAAACGCACTTTAATTATAGGACAATTAGAGATATTTTTCACGATTACAGATTGACTTTATAATTACTCACCTCCGCGATCAGTTCCTTTCAAGCTCTCTCTTTCTCTCTCTCTCTCTCTCTCTCTCTCTCTCTCTCTCTCTCTCTCTCATACTTTGCCTTAAGACAGAAGTTTCCTTCGACCTCTTCAACTCTCGTATTTTGGCTTCGAGATCGGCTTCTTTCGATCTCTCTTACTCTTGCCGCTATTGCCTAGTTTTTCCGGAATCACACCTGAGACTCACCATCTCCTTGCCCAAACCTGATATTATAGGGGAGCCGGGACTAGTTGATTACCGGAGTAAGTTGATAAAATTGATTATTTCTATTATTTTCTAACAAGTTACAGAATTAAGCAAACAAGATTTTTAAACATGTTAAAGAACATCCTTTGAAATTCCTACTTGCTTGATTTTGAAATATGTTAAAGAACAGTAGAAATAATCAATTTTTGCCAACTTACTTCGGTAGTCAACTAGCCCCGGTCTTTCGCGTTCATTCGATATCACTTCTGTCTTATCTACTGAGATAATATCGATTGTACTATCTAAGATTATCGAGGACGTGTTATTTACGATCGAGTAACGATAATAGACTACGTATCATTATGCATGAAACGCGCATTATTATTCCACATTTCAAGATAGCTGTCTTTTAAACCGACGGTCCGTCTAATCTCTCTTTGATCAATTAATCATTGTATTTTTACAATTACAACGCATTATAGATTGTAGACAGAGAGATTATGTCAGCGATCGGCGATAAGAATCACAGGCGATAAGAATTACGGGCGATAATTGTAATTTCTGTCAAAGCTCTTGTATCACGTCGCTACTCGTTCTTCGCGATTCAACGAGACAGACTTGTTTTATGCAGATATAGAGCGACCTAATTGCACGTCGCGACGAAGTCTCTATGAAGCACCCTTTCCAAAGTTCGTCTCGATTGGACGGATCAGTTTCCAGCACGTCCGTAGATATCGCCTCCTTCACTCGATGGTAAAAGTAAGCCTTAATCCGTCGTACTGTGTTATTGTTACGGAGCGGAACTCTCATCCCTTTGAAATCCTAGTCGCGACGACGACGATTTTCCACTGGATTGTCCGCCACTGAGACAGCGTGACAAATCTTTGAAAATCGGGATCTAACGAGGGGTTAGCAGGTGTAATTACAGAATTATGAAGTGTTCCAACGACGTCGTCTCGCGAACGGCAACACAAACGATCGTCCACCACCGGCAGCTAAGGGAAAACGATACTTGACTCGTTTCTGGGCCAGCACGCTGGGGAACGTCGCTTTTTCTTATTCATCGCGGCTCAAGTTAATTTTCTCGTCTGACTCGCGGCCGGCAATTACAACCTTATCCAGTTATTTTTCAGCTCTAGACCGCTCCGCTCCGCACGTTTGGGATCGCGTCGGGCACGACTTTAATTTGTTCGTTACATGGATAATTAGCGGGAGCAACGTGCCGTGACCAGAGGCCCGAGGCAGGAATTTTGCGAACATAATTATTCTAGTTAATGCTGCGGTGTATCCTTTAAATGGCGGCGCGTTCGTAATATCGTCATATATTAAGCCG